GGAAGTCGCCCAAGCTGAGGGCCATACGCGGCCTCTGGAAGTCTTACTGATATCTCTTCTAGTGAATTTATTTATTTTATATCTCATGACAATTGAATGCCTGAATTATGGAAACAGACTTTAAAGCCTTTAAGACCTTGGTCCTTAGGCATTTTATTTTATCTATTACTTTGTGAAAATCATGTGATGATTTATGCTAAAAAGCTAATATTATAAAGTTATATAAAAAGTGTTCCAGTTGTCAAGTAAAATTTACTTTTTTACGGTTAAAAAATTTAGGTGTTCTTTTGAACATGAGATTGATTATTTATTATGGACATTACTTTTACTACTTAAGGTAAATTCAGTGCTGGGAGCCATGTCGAAATAATTGAAACTTTTACTTGATGTGACGGAATCAAGGTTTTTTTTGACACAGTGCTAAATAACTGGATTTCTGAAATTCACTGTCATTTTTACAGGTAAATTTCATGATATTCCGAACTTCTTTTTAATTTATACTGTGTTCCAATGATGGACATTTTTAATGAAAACTTTGACATGGCTCCATTTCTATGCTAATTTCTATTTCACTTGGTGCTTATAGTTTTTATTTAAATTATATAATTATCCAGGTTGTGTGGAGTCATGAAAATATAACGAAGGTGTTCACAATTGGTCTAAAACGTGTCCTAGCAAGGTTTAGGTGCTAACAACTAAAAGCTTTTGATATTTATGTAAATTCTTATACATAAAATTACGCAACTTTACCATCATCCTGTATAATGGTTGACTTAACACGAAATTTGAAATATTATTTTACATATCGAATAAAATTTTCACTCGTTTGCTTTTTTGTACAGCAATATTTTGTAGTTTTTGATCTTAAAAATTAGATTTTTATAACAGTTGTGTTGAATTTAATAATATATTGGTCAATGTACTTTTATATTTCTACCATTTTTACAGTTATAGTATAAAATAAACATTTTTTATCAAATAATTATTTACGCTCAGTACTCAATATTGAAAAATATTTTTTTACTGTTTTCGCTTTACGCAATCGATAGCATATTAAGTAAATAAAAAAAGGATATTCCCGTTGGGCCGTTCGGTCCAACAGTAAACATCCTGTATAGGGTTAATATGCTTCTGATTGTATAACATTTTATAATCTGTATGACATTTGAAATCTTTTAAATTAACAGTTTTTAAACAGCAAAGTTTCTATTTTGTGCATTATAATAAACATTTGTTCAGGTAAGTAGATTAGGCAATGTTCACACCAAAAATCACTCCATGTTTCAAAAGTTTGAATCGAAAATAGTTTGCGGAGATTTGGTTTGAACTTCGCCTTAGCTGTAGCACTTTATTGCCATCTCTTTCTCACACGTAGATAAGAAAGAGACGGCATGTGTGACTGCAAATATCAAGGTAAGCAATAGTAGCAAGTAAATTGTATGGAGAGTAAGTTAGGAAGTAGTTCCGTAGGGATCAATAGAAAAACTTTGTTGTGTTTATAGATATTTATATACGAATGTATTGGTATGTAGAATTTTATATAGCGACTTTACAATCGTATTTTAACAGTAGTTTATATTCCATTTGTCTTAGGGCGAGAATTTAGTCGATAAAGCTATGGAGAGTTGCATCTTTTAATGAAACTTCGACCTTAATGTCATATTATAAGGTTCGAATTAGCAATATAAAGGTACTTGAATTCATAGAAAAATTTACTTGACTAGTAAATTAATTTGTTGTTGGTGCTAGTTTGTACTATGTGCTTTAGGTCTCACAAAATATGCACCAATGTTTCTACAACTACCCTCACTTTAGGTTTTCATCTCTATCTTTAATTTTATGGGCAATTTTTCGCTTTTGCGATGCTATTTGTATCTTGTAAATTATCTTAACTATTTGTGGTCTGTCTGGTTGTGATTAATACTTTTATTTTATTATTTCTTTATTGATATTCTTCTGTCCAAAATATATTCTACTCAAGTATTGTAAAGGCTGATTTTGTCGTATCTAGGCAAAATCTGTCTCTAGTCTATCTTCATTCTTTATATTGAATTATTTGTATTTTACATATGTCACTTGCAATATAAATAGGTGCTTTACATGCTTTTACAATTTATGTAATTTAAACTACCTTCATTGATAATTCATATTGAGGGTAGATTTAAATTTGTTTTACAGTTGCTAGTGTAAACTTCACGACCTTATGTAATAATTTCAAATGGTTAGTAAACGCAATATACAATTAGTCTTTTCATTGATAATTGAATTATTAGCGAAATTAGATGATTTATTTTTGAGGGTAGTTCTTTTTCAGCTCTGTCTTTTCTTTCATCATGTCCATACCAGTCAGTTTACAATGAGCAGTGTTTTTGTATTTTTATTTAATTTCTATTTATACTTGTAAAGAATTAATACACAAATGTACATCCATAAGGGGGCGTAACGTGAGTTTCGTTGGTTAGGTGAGCAATTTTTAATTAAAAATTCCCATCACAGGATTTTAGAGTAATCGACAAACTGACCCGAGTGACCGCGACAGATAACTTGGTGTCTAGTTTTGTTGTTTTTTTTTTACAATTGTAAGACAAAAGTTAAAGATATCCGTATCGGCACGTGTTAGACTAAGTTGTTTATCGAATAGTGATCCTAAAATGCAGTTTTGTTGCGATCTCATTGAAATTAACATGTGATGAGGCTTTATAATATTGATTTTTTTATAATTTTCAGCACAGTTAGTTAAGTTTTTTTATTGTACAGAGATTTGATATGAGTTTGTTACGTTTTACGCTATGCGCTTTGCAGATTATTATTTTAGCTTTACGCATCATTTTGAAGTTCCGTTGTTAGATGTTGTAGAGGGCGCTGTTGCGTTTGACAGTCCACTGTTCTGTGTTGCCAGTATTGTTTCTTTTTTTTAGTATGTTTGTTTTTAAATCGATGAAATTGTTGTTGCTTGAAAGATGAACGCATTGTTGTATTTTAAAAGCACGCACCGAAAGTATAATAGTTACCATGAACGCAGGTCGGCACAACAGTTGAACTTTAGCCCTAGGTCCGCGGTAGCCAGCTAGCTTGTCTATGATCTGATTTTATAATTAAGTTAGCCAACATTTTATTTGCTCCATACATTTAACATAATTTAATAGTTGACGTTGATTGTGAATGTATTTTAAAATTGACAATAATCAGTATTGAAATTATATTATACAAGGTAATTTTGATTACTTATTTTGGATTTATATTTGTCTGTTGAAGTTTGATGATATTTTTTCCTCTGTATTTGTAATGGTATTATTTTTTTATGTAGATTTTGTTTTATCTGTAAGTATTATGTGTATATGTATCGACTGTACGTAAATATAACAATATATAACTGTTTACAGATGTATCAACGAAATGTTTACATCGTATAGAGAAGCAATAAATCATTTATGAAACTTTATATGGCTGTTTTATTAGAAAAAAATGAACGCAATAACCTTGCCGAAAAACGGTAAAATAATTTATAAGTTGTAAAATAAGTTTTTTGACATTTTTTACCGTTGCATAGACAACTAAATTAAAGATGTCATTAAACAAATTCATAAATATAAAGATTAATTTCATTTACATAGATGACCGTTAGCTTTAGTTAGTTCCGTGTTATGAGCAGGATATGGGGGACAGCTTGTCATGTAGGTCACAGCATAACTAGCTATACGTACTCTTTTACAATGGAATCAGACTTTATTGTAATTCTGAAAATTATCCTTGAACTGCTAAGGAAGATGGAACTTTCCTAGTGTTTCCCATGTCGTTGTTGATTCTTAAAAAAATCCCTTCAAAGTTGCGTTTGTTACTTAATGGTCCAATTACTGTTAGAAATGTTACATTTCGTGTTTGTGTTTACAACTTCAATAAAGTAAAAATGCAAGTTACTATATTATATCGCTTAAAAGGTCAAATAAATTTACTTGCACTTTTTATATCTCGCTCATCGCCTTTATGTCTGTTATGACTTGTTTACAATCGGCATAAAAATCCGCTTTGCGCCGGATTAACCCGTAAAAAACGAATGCCATTATCATCCTTGACACTCGAAACAAGTTTTTGCGTATATTTACGGAGTATAAAATCTTCTTTAAGTTAGGCCGTAAATTTTACAGGTATCTCGCCATATGCCCATATTATGTTAAATAATAAATATACTCTCACGACTTTATAATTAAATTGAGGTAATCACAGATCAATTAATATTATTGCATTTTAATGCTTTTTTGTGCCATCTAAAACATTGTACACATTTTTGGCATTATTTTTGACAACTCATATAACCATACCATAAAACAAAATTAGGAAGTGTCCCAAGTTTGTTAGGAATCGCTAGACCGCACTAACTTATAGAATTGAATGTTAGAAGTTGCACGATCTCCTTGACCTAAGACGACCTAAGCTTTCCAATCGAATAAGAGCTATTAATAAGAGAGAGTTTAATCCCTTTTCCGTGCTTCATTTATTAAATTCTAATATAACTAAGCTGTATGATAATATTCGGTTTATCCTGTTAATCTTATTTAATTACCCTCGCGGGTGAAAGTTGTATGAATCTGGCAGCACTGATGTTAAATGCTTGCATTGAACTTGATCATGGTCAGTGTCGCGGGGAGACTGCGCGCGCGCCACTCGCAGACTTGACAAGCGCGACATAATCTTTGCCCGAATTACGCGCGAAATAATGACAGTATCATCTGTTTCTTAACGTCAAAAACTCTAAAAACTTTGAAATAAATTTTTATGCGAGGACAGTGTAAAGAAATTTAATAATGAAGCGAAAATGTTTATGAAGCCGGATGTTTTAAGATGTGTTGTGATATTATTGATTGTGTGTTTTGTTTGTAATGAGGGAAACAATTCAGGGAGGAAAATTCGATACGATTCATTTAAAAACAATTCAAGTCAAATATTTGATAATCGTACTAGTAAGGAACGTACTGGAAGGGGATTTTTTTCACATGGTAAGTTTGTTTAGTTTTCCTTCGTATAAAAAGGCGGGAAAAAAAAAACATTTCTGACGACAAAAATAATTTAACACTTGAAATAACTAAAAATTTAATCAACAATATATTTTTAAACATGTTAGTTTACTGCGAATTGATGTGATGTTAATTTTCTGATAATATAAAACCTGAATCGGGCGAAAGACAAACTGCAACAGATTATTTTATCTTTTAGTATGAATAAATCTTGATCGTTTATTCTCCGAACGCCGTTTATCGATGATTTATTAATCATTTAGGAACGATTTAATTCTTGTACAAAAATATTAATTTTGTTGTTTATGGCGGATTTGTGTACATGCCTGGAAGTTTTGCTTATGGAATAAGTTAGAAGGATTTTTTGTACTTTTTTGACGATAAAATAAATTACTTAGGTTTCAATAAGATTCTGTCACAGTGCTGGAAGATTTACGACCTGTCCTACCGAATTGTAAATTCTCTGATAATAATCCAATGTGTCAAATATATGATGGATATCGGATTTTGTTACTTTATCTGACAGTGACGTCATTTTAAGCTAGCTGTGCCTCTATCATTTAATGGTGGGACAGGCCCTTAAATTGAGAAATTAATTCGTGTATTACTTTTTGCCATATCTACAAATACAACCATCTTAATCAATTATTGACTTGTAAGTAATTAAAACTAACGGGTGAGAACTTTTAAGACTCGATAATCTTAGGTCAGGCTAACGTTCTCAACCTAATCCAGTTTTAAAGACGCCTCGCAGCGTCGGGTTTGAACCGATAAAGATAATTTCAATTCTAAGCTACTATGGATTTCTTTAGTTTTATAAAACCTATTTCACAATTTATTGTTTGTTTAAAGTATTTTTCTTCATAGACATATATTACCTACAAACTTTATTTCACGACTTCGTCCGCTCGGAATATAAAAAAAAACTTATTAAGTAGCTTATTTGGTCTTTCAGATTATGTTGGTTATTATATTTGTGTTATATTTTATATAGATCCGTTAAGCCGTTTTAATAACAAACTTTTATTAGTATTATGTGTTTCTTACATGTTTGACGTAATGTTGACATAAATAATCCCAACAAAAGGCTTCTGGTAGATTTTTGTCTCCCTTTTGTATCTTTGAATTAGGTATCTATAGTTTTCGTACATGAATCAAATAAGAATTTTACAAACTGATTAATTACTTATCTGTAAATATTAAAATTGTTCTAGTTTTATAATTCCAGTTGCGAATACTTCATAATGAGGTCTGTTCAATTGGCCCGGATTTTTTGAGTGCCTGAGCTATCATAGACTTGCTTACGTAGCTGTTAAAATAATCAAAACGTAAAAATAAAACTAATTAAATATTCTCTTTATATTATAACAGACCGTAACAGCTCCGCTACTACCTAGTGAAATCCATACTAACATTATAAAGAGGAAAGATTTGTATTTTTGTATGTATTTAAATAACTCAAAAACTACAGGGCGGAATTGAAAAATTCTTTCACCGTTAGAAAGGTAATTTATCTGTGAGTTACATAGGCAATATTTTTTCTTATTTTTAAATTTCACGCGGGTGAAGTCGCGAGCAACCGCTAGTTATCAAATAATAGAAAATAATTGAATGCATAAAATACTCCCATAAATTCCTACATTTGAAGCCTTTAAATGAAGAGGTATTACAACTAAAGTTCTTTCAATATGTTTTTAAATTATTATGAAGGCATAAATAAAACCAGGCTAGATTGTAAAGAAATTTCAACGTTCAGTATTAGTGGTTACAGCGATACCCTAAAAACAAACAGCATTACTAATAAACGCGGTATAAAGTTAAATTTAGGAATAAAATGAGTGTAAGCAAAATTTGTACTAAAATTTGTTTAGTTTATTCCTAAATTTAACTTTATACCGCGTTTATTTATAAGGCTGTATATATTTAACACATTGCCTCATGTACTAGCATTCAATACAATTAATTGGTCGTAATTAACATAAATTTCGCTAATCAATATCAATTTACTATTAAAATTGCGGTAAATTGCAAACAAGTTCTACCAGTTTTGTGTCGCGAGGTATGTCGACTTTGACTATATATGAACGGACTAGGCTAATACCCGTTGTATTATATAAATTCTGTCACTTTTAGGTGGATACGACAAAGCATACAGACTCGATTTACTGACAAATAACGAGCACACAAGAATTTAAAAGGATTTATTGTTTGTTTCTTTTTTAACAGTACGTAGACAGATCCTGTCTATTAAAAGTCAAAGCATGTCAATGATCTCCTAGTAACTGTAACAGATGTACTATCACAAAAAACTTCTAACGACAATATTCTTAAATTAGGTTTTTTGAGAGACTTCAAGTTAGTGTTGATGTTTTGAAAAGTTGTCGGTTTAGTTTGTATTACCCACTTAATGACTTATATAGCTAAAATTAATTGTATTGTAATTTATTCGTATTTCACGAATTGTCAGTATTTATCCACTAATTAACTATTATAGCTTAAACTAAAAAAAATCTTTACATAATTATTTAATGATGGTTAGTTTACCCTATGTATGTATATTAAGTAATGCTAACATTGCATAAATCATAACACTACCTAAAAAAAAGATTTAATTAACTTAAAATGCAGTTTTTAAACACAAAATCTGTTTGCGGACGAGCTTTTTGCCTTCTGTAACATTTAGCTGCACTTATCTGCAGAGGTCAGCTGTTTGAACAGCTGCGGTACGTATTATTTATATGCTAATAAGCTATTCTATGCAATAGCGAGCATAAAGAGTTTTTAATTTTTAATATGGAAAACTAAGAGCTAAAAATCGGACACGTGTAATTGTTATCCCATAAAAAAATGGTTATGCTTGTAACACAGTCAAAAGCGAATCGTATTCGAAGCGTTAAAGATATACGAATCACATCAATCGTAAGATATAGGAAACAAAACGTTGACAATACATTCAATGAAAGAAATGAAACAAAAAAATCAGTTGCATACAAATAACGGACATCTTCAAATTGTTGCGGCAACACAAATAAGCAATAACTTTCTACGGCAGTGCTACCGCTATAAAATTAACAAAAAAACACGCTCGCCTCATAAGGAGATACCCATTGAAGTTACAGCCACCGGGAATCGATTAACCGAACCACGTGTACAGTCGCGCACATAATCCTATAAAAAAGGATAACCAATTCACTTCTTTAAATGTACCTCTGTATTTTAGTAATATTAAAGAGACGTGTATTAAATGCTTTATTTGTAACTTGATACAGAAGTTTACTAAATTAAGAGAAGAATTTAAGAAGTAATATTTGTTACTTGTATAGATAACATTGTCATGATGATAAATAAGTAGTATTGAGAATAGAGGGGTTTTAATTTATTGCATTTATCGAGTAACTAGAGTATGTTTGAATGATATTGGTTTATTACATTTTAATCGGTAATAAAGGTTAATAAATGTGCTAACATTTATGTGTGCGACTGTACAGCTGTAGGGTACAGAATACAGGTGTCGTCGTGGTTCGCATGCGATCGCTTTGCGATATTGATTCCTGCACTCTTTTAACCCACTTCCCTGTAGCTAGGAACTAACATGCAAGAACACATGCTGTAGTTATAAAAAAAACTATTTGGTTTGTGGCATTTGTGAAGTATTTTATATGGTAATTGTTTTTTGTGTATTTTATTCGAACTAATGTACTTACAATTTGGCGCCAAACTAAGTTATAGTTGCCATACACTACAGGTATCTCTTTTACGTTTCTCATCGTGTGTTGATGACCTAAGAAGCAACTGTCATAGCAAGATGATACTACTAATTGTTATATAATGTTCGTAAGATACGGCTTTCTTACCATCAGCCCGTGAACATGGCGCATGCAACTGTGCCGAAATATCGGGAGCTAAAATAACCCTATCGTGGTAAGAAACCCATATCTTACGGACATTATATTTATAAAAACCAACACAGTTTAAAGTTATATATTACTAATTGTTATTTCATAAAGGATCATAGTATTAAAAATGTCAAATAACTTTAAATTGCGGTGAGCAAAACTCGCGCTACGAATATTTCCATTAAAGCCAACAAGGCCTCGTTGAATATTAAGCGTAATTGAGTTTCAAACCGCACACCCCTAGCATCCACACTGAAAATGCACGCGCCGCTGAACCCTCAATTAGTGGAAAATTGTCATGTATGGTTGCCCACAGCACGTTGTCCTGTTTCACTAACAAAATGCCTTAAAAAGCAGTCCATAAAAACAAAGGAGAAACAAGCTAAGCTATAGTTTTTAACTGATTTTAATTACCAATTTCAAAGAAAATCATGATTATGTCAAAGAAAGGACAAATTATACAAATTAGAAGTCTGTTTTATGGTTTAGGGTCATTCAGGTACTCTTAAACTGCATTTAACCAATTGCAATGTAAAGTAATAATATGCTAGAACAATATTAAGGTTATTTTTTAAGAAAAAAATTAACTTGTCAAGTAAAATATTAATAGTTTAATTGCAGGTTGGGATATCAACTTTCGAAATCTTATATTTTATTTGGGATTCGATCAGAAGTTTACGAATATGGAAATCATAACCTATATACTACATTGAAGATTGCTTCTATATTATTAAACAAATTATATGAATTATCGTATGAAAAATCTGTCAAAAACTACCTACGTTGTGACAAAAATGAATACAGAGTGGAATTAAAAAAACAAAAGCAAGTAGCCTATGTGTTCTTCCAGACTATGCTCTACATCTGTACCAAATTGAATCGATGTTTGTTTAGTCTACAAACTCTAACAAATCTAAATCTATTTAATCAATATAATAAAGATTTTCAAGCGCATTTTTTAAAATCGAATTTGTCGTATAATATCCATTGTGAAATTTCTCAAATAAAAAATGACCATACAAGCAAAACATTAAGAACTTTATCCGATTCGTGACAGAATAACATAAAAAATGCAAGTGTGACCCG